TTATGAATATTAGCATTTGTTTATATTTTTATTAAAAACCTTTCTACTATATTTACTTAATAGAAATGCGTGTCGAAAATCATATTCACCTACGCCATATTATGCTATGTCACTTCGAGAAAGGATGGACAGCAGCACAGTCATTCCGCGATCTTAACAATCTTCTTGGCGAAGGAATACGGAAGAATACGAAGGAATACCAGAAGTGCTTTATCGTCGAAATCCGATGGCCGTCCTCTTCCTGACTTGTCCTCCATGCTTGTGTCGTCAGATTTGAAACGAGAAAACTAATCCCGACACTGTGTCTCACTATTTGTTCCTTCGCCAAAAAGATCGCTGACATGGCGGAATGACTGTGCGGAATGTTTCTTGAAGTGGTGGAGCATAATATGGTGTAGATGAATATGATTTTTGACACACATTTCTATCAAGTAAATATAGAAAAAAGGTTTTTAATAAAAATATAAACAAACGCCAATATACATAAGTAATAAATACACAAAAAGTAAACAGCGGATTATTATGCATCAACACAATAGAATGTCAATATGATATGAAATAGTTACTGCAATAGTATGCAATGACATACTAGTGTGGATCAAATATAAACGAGCCTTTTTAAATTGCGCGCCCGTCGGCGGCGTAAGAGCTCTGCAATGTTTTGGACAGTGGAAGGGGGTCATGTGGAAGGCAGTAATAACGTTGGTGCGCCACGCGCTACTTACTCTCAGCAGCAATCACGATGAGCGTGAAAGAGGTATACCCCGCAGTTGCACAACGTGTTATTATTAAGTTTCTCGTCAACGAAAATATAAATGTTGCTGAAATTCGGTGCCGATTACTCCAACAGTTTAGGAATAGAACCCTTTCATGTGCTCTGATAAAGCAATAGTGTAACGAAAATTTAAGAAAAGATGGGAGCGTGTTGAAAACATTGCCGCCGTCCCCGCACTAGCATCACAGCGGAGAACACCGAGACTGTTAGAGAATTTATCGCAGGCTATCGGCACTTAACTGTTCTTGAAATCTCTCAAGGAACTTCAGTTCGAGCTGCCTATCGGTCAAAAACGCGCGGCATTGCGATCAGAAATGTGTTGCTTCTCCATGACAATGCCAGATCCCACACCGCAGCAGTAACACAACAAAAATTGGCCAATATGCACTGGACTGTCCTAAAACATCCACCCTACAGCCTAGACCTGTCACCATGCGCTTTCCATATGTTTTGGCCACTTAAGGAAGCCCTTGGTTGACAGCGCTTCACAACGAACAAGTAGGTGCAGCAGTTCGTGTGCAATTGGTTTGATACACGTTCGCGAACTTTTTATAATACCGGGATTAAAAGATTACCGTTGGAGGAAGTGTATAGATAAGATGGGGCACTATGTAGAAAAATAAGAAAAATGTAAATTAGAATTGATTTTGAAAATATATAGTTTTTTCAAATTAGGCTGGTTTATATTTGATTCATCTTCTTATAAATACTTATTATCATGTGTAAAAATATTATGAGATTATTGGAAGCAAAGGTAGTAATTCATATATAAAATTTGCTTGCTTTGAATAATATAGAATTCTAGGGCCATTTAACATGACATGAACTGGTTATTGTAATAGTATACAATGACATATAAGACTTTGTTCTCATGTATAGAGATATTACAAAACTATTGAATGCAGAATTAGTAATTCAGATATGAAATCTACACGCTTTCAATAATCTTTATTACTACATCATTTTGTTTAACGTGAACCATTTATTATGCAATATATTATATCGCAAAGAACTTAGCTGTGATATATAATGTAACATCACGGCGGAAATATTTATTTACATACATTCAAATTAATCCGTTACGAAGAAAAAACAAAGTCTGGATGTCATCATCAGTGGCGCTACAGCCTGGTGATGGGACCGGTGACGGGTCCTCTCTCTTTCTGGGTTCTCTCTTTCTCTCTTTCTTACGTCTGCATGTAGTACATATTTTAATGCAAATATCGTTGTGAATTTTACAACACCACACAACATTTAGAATACGAAATATTGCATAATAATATGCCACATGTAATTTCTAGTATTTATAAATGCCGAATATATTTTAAGCGTTTTGCAAAATGCAGGGATTATAAGATTGCAGAATATAATAATAATTATTATTGCGAGTACAAATTAGTTCGGTCCGTTTTTTGTGGTCAAAAATACACTTATTTCAGAACAAAATGAATGAACAGATTAATCAAAATATTGTCCATCACTGGCTGTTACTTTTTCACACCTCTCAGGCAATTTTGGAATCCATCTCGAAGAAATGTCTCGTTTTTTGAGGCGATGCAAGTTATGAGTCAATTTTCGATTTCTGCGAAAGAAGTGAACCGGTGATCTGCTAAATTGTGCTGCATCCGTCGGAACAACCAGTAATCAGAAGGAGAAAAGTCCGACGAATACGGCGGATGCGGTAAAATATCCCACTTGAGCGTTTCCAAATAATTTTTTACGACTTTTGCCACATGAGGCCGAGCGTTATCATGCAGAAAAATAACTTTGTCATGTCTTTGCTCGTATTCCGGCCACTTTTTTTGTAATGCACGGCTCAAACGAATCAATTGTAGCCTATACCGATGGCCCGTAATAGAATCGCCAGGTTGTAGCAGCTTATAGTATATAACACCCTTTTGGTCCCACCAGATACACAGCATGACCTTTGAACCATTAATATTTGGCTTTGGTGTTAATTTTGAGGTCGATGGTAACGATTGGCCGGGCATAGCGTAGTATTTTTTTTTTTTGGAGTTATAGTAGAATATCCATTTCTCATTCCCAGTCACAATCCGAAGTAAAAAGATCCTTTCTTTGTTGCCTTTGAATCAGCTGCTCGCAAGTAAAAAATCGCCTTTCAACGTCTCTGTTTCAGTTCATAAGGCACCAAATTGCGTTGCTTGTGAATCATTCCCATGGATTTCAATTGTACGGAAACTGTTTGTTGCGTAACTCTCAGTTATTCTGCAAGCTCCTCTTACGTTTGACTCTGATCTTCATCGAGTAATGCCTCCAATTTTTTGTCTTCAAATTTTTTGGCTGTCCAGAGCGAGGCTTTTCTTCAACGCTGAAATCACCATTTTTAAAACGTCGAAACCATTCCCTACATGATTTATCAGTTGGAGCATTGTCACCATAAACTTCTACAAGCATTCAATGCGCTTCAGCTGCACTTTTCTGCCAATTGAAGCAGAAAACTAAAATCTCCCGCAAATGCTGCTTAGTTAACACAAAATTTGACATATTCAATTTTGACATATTCAGTAAAAAACAGAAGTTTTGTATGAAACTCAAAGCAATATAAACTGAATATTATTGATAGATGTCTAACCTCTCTGAAACCACCGAAATCAGCTGTTACTATGAAACATTCATAACAGCCAGAGCTATCTTTTGAAAACGGACATAACTATTAGGTTGGTGCGTATGAAATGTCGCATTCTCTTTACATGCGGACGTTTTCCTCCCTGTTTTCGTTATACTTTTGTATTTGGCATAACCTCATTCATACTCGTATTGTCCATTGCCAGAGACTCATTTCAACAAAATAGGTTTTCTCGAAGGTCTTCCCTTTTTTATTTCTTTTGAGTTTATTACCGATATGAATTCTGCCGACATTCGCGTCATTTTCTTATATGAGTACAAACTTGGTAATAGTGCTGCAAAAGCTGCACGCAACATAAACCAAGCGTTTGGGGAGAATACGGTTAACAATCGGAAAGTGCAGCGTTGGTTCGAAAAATTTCGGACTGGCGATTTTTCACTGCAAAATGAGCCGCGCGGAAGACCCAAAACGTCTGTGAATAATGATGACCTGAAGGCTCTAGTGGAAGCGGATCCAGCCGTATCCACGAGGGAACTTGCTATCAGGATGAAAGTTGACCATACAACGATATTGAGACACCAAATTGTACTCCCATCGCTTGTGAATCGGCATGGCCCGCTACTGCTCCATGACAACGCTCGGCCGCACACATCGCACAAAACAATTGCGAAACTGAACGAACTGGAATATGAAGTTTTGCAGCATCCACCATATTCACCGGATCTCTCGCCGACCGATTTTCATTTTTTCAAGCATTTAGAGCTGTTTTTAAGAGGCAAACACCATGAAAATGAAGACAGTCTAAAAAACTCGATATCAGAGTTTATTAATTCTAAAGACCAAAATTTTTTTAAGACAGGCATCTACGCTTTAAAATCTCGTTGGGAGAAGTGTATTGAAGCGAATGGAGCATACTTTGATTGAATAAACAGCTTTTGAAGAAAGATATACAGTTTTATACAATCACTTAAGAATCCGACATTTCATATGCACCAACCTAATAATTTGAACTCCCAATATAAATATCAAATATTATTCACATATTCGCCTATATTGTCATAGGTGCACAGTTAGTTGAGATTAATTCATTTTGAAATAACAGGTTTGCTAAATTAAATCATATATATGGTTTGCCTCTGATGTGGTATATCAATATATCGGTATAACTGTAATACTGTATTAAAAATTGAATTACCGTTACCTGCATTACTGATTATTTTAATGCCTTTCGGGTGGTGCGCTAATCCGGATGAATTTCGGGATTGTCTACAGTTTCGCCTTAAGGACAAAGGAAGATATACAAAATATTGATAACAAATATTTGTTGTTCTCAAGTTATTGTTTTATTCATTTTTAAAACGTATTATTTATTTTGCACCGAAGAAAAAGTAATGTATTCTTTAAAATATTAGGTAAACCGAAAAGTAATCAAAATTTTTTCGATGTGTTCATTCAGTCAGTTTGTGTGGAGCACGGTCCAGTAAACACGTAAGTTTTGTTGCTACGGTCAAGCTTGGTTGTAAATTCTATTTTTCGGTTAAAACATTTTTGTTCTAGTAAGGAGGAAAGATGTCAAAGCCAACAATAGAAAAAGGACATTTACGTCATTGTATACTATTTTTATTCGATCAAGGATTAATGGCAAACGAAGCAGTGAAAAAAATTAAAAACACTTACGGCGATGTTCTAAAACTAAACAAGTGTCATAGATGGTTTAAAAAGTTTAAAAATGGAAATAGTAATCTCGAAGATGTTGAACGAAAGAGACGACCTCAAAAATTAGATGATGATATCCTTAGAGCGATGGTGGATTCAGATTTTCATCAAACTATTAGGGAATTATCATTAAAGATCGGCTGTCCATGGTCTACAGTTCAAGATCATCTTTATCGTATAAAAAAAGTGTATAGGCAAGAAATTTGGGTTCCTCATGAGTTGACAGAGACGGCACTCGATCAACGGCGTACAATCTGCGCGTCTCTTTTGTCTCGGTATGAAACCGATTTGTTTTTGCGACGAATTGTAACTGGAGATGAGAAGTAGATGCTATACAATCCTGTGTTATATAATCCTGTACGAAAAAAACAATAGCTTTTTCCCAGAGAAGCACCTATTCCGACACCTAAACTATCACTAACAATAAAGAAGTTCCTTGTTTGTTTGTGGTGGAATTTTTCAGAAATTATACACCATGAATTGCTTGAACCTGGTCAGACCGTTACAACCACAGTGTATTGTGAACAACTCGAGCGAATGAAGCAAGAGCTCTTAAAAAAACGATCTGTTTTGGTCAATTATCGAAAAAGAATCTTTCAACACGATAACGCGAGGTCTCATACTGCAAAAATAACACAGGAAAAAATTAGGGAGCTTGGATTGGAACTTTTACCTCATCCACCTTATTCACCAGATCTCGCGCCGTCGGATTACAACCTTTTCAGATCATTAGAGCATATATTAAGAGGTAAACACTTTAACAATGTTGAAGAAGTGAAAACGCACTTGGAAAAGTTTTTCAATGCAAAATCGAAGAACAATTTTAAAAAAGGAATCGAACAACTGCCTATACGCTAGCAAAAGGTGTTAAAAAATGATGGAAATTATTTTGTTGATTAAAATGTAGAATTTCTTTAATAAATAAATATTTTTCGCTAACAAAAAAATTTTGATTAGTTTACGGTTTACCTAATTGTTATAAATAAAAATCTATTAATGCTTTTTATTGTAGATACTTTTTTTTATAAAATTAATGAAAATTAATTGATAGAAAATACTATAATTTTCTATATAAAATCTCATTTTCATAACTACAATAATAAAAAACAGTTATAGATAAAAAATAAATTTTTGTTATATATATGATTTATTTTGTTCACTGAGGTGAGTAATACGCGACCCGCGGAAGATGAGAAATGGACGTTCTCAATCAATGACAACCAAAGACAGATCAATAAGTGGAAATTGGACGTTTGTCCGTCAGCGTTACAATACTGTCATGCGTAAACACTGTGTAATCTTCTAATTTCTACAGTCAGGCTGGATGAACGTTTTCGCTTTTACATCTTATTATATCCTTACGCATGTTCCACGTTGTATTTTAGCATATCGTCCATGCTGAAGAAACTGCTCTATTTGAACTTCAGTTTAATCTATTTGATTAAACTGAATCTATTTGATTAAACTGAACAGTAATCTTCGGTTCTGCTTTCTTTGTATTGTGATAATCACAGTAAAATTCGTTAACGCATTTCGAACCAGGGGTATTCTTTGAACAACTTAATAGATAGATAATAGATGGATAACTCTTAATTGATTGTTAACTAATTATGTGCTATGTATGAAATATATTTGCTTACTAGAACTACGGCTGGATCATTTTTGACCTACTTACACATTTTTTTCCTATTATTTTAGATAATTTTCATCATTGAGAAGTCTCCTTAATCATCAAACAATTAAAAAAATATGAAGTGAAAGAAACCCACGGATAATTATAAAAAAGATAAAGATCAAAAGTAATCTATTCGCGGTTATAAAAAAAGAAAATTGCCGTGATTCTAGTGTTAATTAATGTTAATTATCATATATCATGATCTTCAAATTTTTAAGTATCGCCGTTGACTTCCACGGAAGGCATTTCGGTTTTACTATTTGCGTTCAGCTCGTTAACGTATTTCTTTTTCTAATGTTCTGCTGTATCATCATTATTAGATGCGGTGAGATAAATAAATATCGCGAGAATGTATTAAATAACGATTAATTATAATGGAAAAAATAATTAATTAATAATCTTTCTTTATCGTGTGTTTCATGAAATATAGAGTACAGTAATTATAGATAAAGCGTTTCACGAAAACTGGTATTAATTTCGAACAATGATGCAACGTATATTCCTATTATTTATAATGGCTAATTATCTGTAGTACAAACTTTCAACGGTCAAAAATTTCAATTTATCTCTTTCTTCATTTATAAAACGATTTAATTTAATATTCACGTTGCTGACGTATTATCGTATTATCAACATTTTTCAGTCCCTTTGTTAAATTTTCCAACAATGTTCCACTTAATGAATCAATCATACTTAATTGGCTTTCTGTTTTTAAAAGTGTAATAAAGAGAAACCGTTGGTATGAATATACCTCCCTTTTAGTATGGCTTAATATGGCTATAAGACACAGAGCTAGAGGAAAAAAGTACATGTAAACGTGGTTTGCGTAATGGTTACGAAAGCACGAATATAATATAGAGTCCTAAAACATGTATCGGAGCACTAATCATAATCACAATATCGTATCACATTTTTTCTACTTACACCTTAGTCCCTAGGCTGCCGTGATAAATATGAAATTTGTAGACAATTTTCAGAACTGTAGATAATCGTGAGTTCTAGCAATCATGAAAATAATACATTCTTAGTAAACTCATAGACAATGTTGCGTGAGATGATTTAACGTTCACAATTCTAAATTCGGACAATGTCAGAACATGTTATTAGAATTAAAATTACATTGATATATTAAAATGTATCTAAATCGTAATAACATGCAATAGGTGGAACCCAATTTATTATTATAGTTTAACTTCTCAGAGAAATCTGTCAATGAGATACTCACTTTAATCGCTATAAATTTTCGAATAAATTTTTGAGACACACTTTATACAGTAATATTGGCACTTATTCTCTACCAACTTAATTTGCCGCGAATCATTCGTCATTTCTCTCCACGACGCGAGATGTTCATCGGATAATGTCAAATACTGCAATTTCCTTCGAGACCCTGCAACTGAGAGGAAAAGAGAAACTATAAGATAATCGTTGCTTATAGATGTTGTTTATAGCCGTGTTCATTCACGCTGTAAATAGAATAAATACTATGTTGCATTCTTTAAAATCACTCGTAAATTCTTCTGTCTTTCTGCGATGTACGATATGAGACATTTTGAACCGTTGTATTCCTCGAGATATGCTATTATCGACTATCAATAAGCTGCCATACGCCCATACGACGATCATAGAAGGAGCATTAATTATTGGAGGGGAAAGCAAAATGTCATCTTCTATCCTATGCAAATGTATATTATATTAGCAAATGAAGAAGTAATAGATCTCGAAGGAAATAATGGACTACTCGAGCTAGATTAGTTGATCGCAAGCGGCTATTTGATATCAGTCGAAAGCTTCACGTATTTCTCTGGGCGGAGCGCTGGAAGTTCCGAGCCACTCGATCGCACCCGCGGGTGTGAATGCAAGTACGATACATGTATGGATACATATTCTTTGCACGACTGCTCAACACGAAAAATTACTAAATTTGGTTAATTGAACTTTTTTCCAACTTAAAGTAAAAGTCAGACCAGGGAAGAATCCATGAATACTCGAAAGAGAACTTTCGACAGCATGGACTTCCAAAACGTAAATCCCTTTAACGCTTGGTTGAACAAGCTCTCGGGCAATCTATTGCCGATGACCGGTAATGATCCGCCATTTCCCACTGCATGGAGAATATACAGTGTTGTCTTGTTACTGACTGAGGTGGTGCAGGTCACCGCGATAATCCCAGCGGTCATGTACGTGTCGAAGGAGAAGATTTTACAGGACGCGACAGTCGGCGCCGTCATCAGTGCGGAAGCATTCTTCCTGTTTGCACGGATGCACACTCACAGGGATCTCGTGAGTCGACTGATACGGAAACTGAACCACATCCTGCGCACACAAGACCATACCATGGAAAGCATCGTGAAATCGACCCTGAGGCCGGTGCAAGCTCCGCTCAAATTTTACTGGATAGCAGGTTCCGTATCTCTAATAGTGTGGTGCTGCATATCGTTCGTGCCGGTCTTGAAGAGGAGCGTCTTCTTCTACGAGGATTACAGAGTGCCGGTGGTTTTCACTAAGCAGCCGTTTTCAATGAGAGTCTTTCTATTTGGCAATTTGGTCGTATCCGTCACCAGCGTGTATATATTTATGAGGAAAGTCGCTTTGGACGTGTATACGATCAATCTTGTGCTCCTAATGACAGCGCAGTATCGCTACATATCGACGAAGCTAACGATGATATTTCAAATAGGTAGTTCGCAAAATCAATACCACAAGCCTCAAAAAGAATACTTCGACGCGTATTTATGGGCAGAGACAAAAATGAGAGTTTTATGTCAACATCACAACGCTATAATTCAGTAAGTAATCACGATGACAGTATTCTTGAATCTAATGATTCACTGATTCGATCGATTGTGATTTCATATCCTTGGAGATTTTTACGAATCTCTTTTATAAACTGATCTTTTTCACGGTCTATGATGCATTTTCAATGTACTTAATCACCCGACGTTTCGTGGACATTACCCTTCTACGCTTATTTTTAGGATGACGCCGATATTAAAGAAACTGTTGTCTATAAACTTTAGTTTGATATATTTGAACAACGTTTTCCGATTCTGTTTTAACGGCATTATGCTGGTGATTGCGGTGAGTAATAATTCATGTAATGACATTTTGCAAACTTTTTCTGGATCGTCGAATTAATCTCCGGGTTATACGAGATCATATATTATCTGAAACATTTATGAAATGTCTAATAGTAACGATAATTACCTATATACAAAGTCTCCATTTAGATTTGTGTTAAATTTAGCTATCATCAGCTCCATTGGAAGCACTAATGATCCTTACGTACATGTTTGGCGGATTGGTACAGCTCTACATCTTATGCTTATGTGCGCATCAATTATTAGACGCGGTATGATCCATTAAAACAATCTTATTTCTTACATTTTTGAACTTTACAAAATTTCGAAAATGCCGCGATAATCATCTGCCGTAAAATTTGTTCAAATTATATTTAAATATATGGTTTGTCCGGAAAGTAATCATTGAGTCGATTTTAAAAAATTCAGTGAACTTTTTGTTACAACACATCAAAATTCTTCAAAATAGGCTCCTCCTGAGTTGACACATCGGCTACAGCGAGTTTTCCAGACATCGAATGCGCCACGGTAGGCCTCCTCCGGAATGTCCTTTAAAGTCGCGGTGCAAGCTATTTGAATCCCTTCAATTGTCTCAAAATGCTTTCCTTTCATGGGTCCTTTCAGGCGTGGAAACAGAAAGAAGTCGGGGGGAGCGACATCCGGACTGTGCGGAGGTTGGGGAATCATTGGCACCCCTGCTTTGGCCAGGTAGTTGGTGACGACGAAGGAGCTGTGGGCCGGCGCGTTGTCGTGATGCAACTTCCAGTCCTTTACGATGTCCGGCCGGACTTATTGAACACTAATAACTGTGTCTAATAACTGTGAGAGTAAACGGACATTCAATCGTCCGTCTGTGTTCAAAACTTCTTTCACTCGCGTCACATTGTCGTCCGTGGTGCTCGTCGATGGCCGTCCGGCGCGGGCTTCGTCGTCGACCTTTCCCCGACCTTCCAAAAAAACCTTGTGACACCGGAACACTTGCCGATTCAACAGGGCATCTTCTTTAAAACTGTCTTGATTATTGGAAGAGTTTCCGTCGCGGTCTTGCCAAGTTTAATGCAAAACTTGATCGCCATTCTTTGTTCTAACGAGCGCTGCATTTTTACCTGCACCAGGTCACAAAACGACTGCCACAGAAATACATGTCCTTACTTTGCGGCTGGCGGGAGAAGAATGAGTGAATCAACATTTGTTAGCTAATTTCCCCCTCTACCATTCCCAACCGATTCGAGCGCGCTCTGACGGTCAGTCGCGTAATAAAAAAATCACTGACCTTACTTTCCGGACAAACCATGTATATTGTTGGTAATTACTTAATGGCAAATATTTTTCAAAAGAAAAATAATTAGAACTAGTAAGAATTTAAACATATTCTTATCTTATTTGAATATTAATATAATTATACATATACAGAGTATCCAAAAAGTCTGGAAATACTTTAATAATTTCCCAGGTAAATTATTTTTGAAAAATGTTAAGATCACTCTTGCAGTAACTTTTGACGAGGAATTCAATGGTGACCTTGGATTTGACTTTGACGATGACCTTGAAGGTTATTTCAAGGTCAGCTCAATTTTTTTAATGGAAACCCCTTTTTTGACGTCGGCAATAGAAAGAGCGGGAAATTTTACGTTCCAAAACATTATAGGGCCATAAATCGTGGTTGACCTTAAAGGTCATTCAAAGGTTATTTAATTTTGAGGACTAAATATCTTCGAAGAACACAGTTGACGAAAATAGCTTACTTTACTTATTTAGTTTAATTGCAATTAGTGGTGACCTCAAACTTGAACTTGTTTGTGTCCTTCAAGGTTATTTCAAGGTCAAATTTTTTTTTCTAAAAGCCTCATCATTTGTCGTCGGCAATTGACAGAGCGGAAGTTTTCATACTTTTACTTTAGCGTTACCCAGGAACAACGGCGGGGACGTAGTACGGACTGTTTCCTTTGGGGTGCTTGCTTAACGTGAGTCTCCTTGCTTATCACGTGCATTGATAAACATTTGGTCACTGTATTTAACGCAAATTGATAGAATTGTTCTCCGTTTACTTCTTGACACCAACATAATCGATGGTAGAAAGCACCAACAGCATTTTTGATAATTTCAATTGGAATGAGAGCTGTTTCATCAACGATCCTTTGCCGTAATTCATCTAAATTTTGTGGTTTTGTTTTGTATACACGATCCTTTACATAACCCCAATAGAAATAATCTATAGGCGTTAAATCGGGTGACCTAGCTGGCCATTCAATTGTGCCTCTTCGTCCTATCCATCGATTAATAAATACTGTTTCTAAGTAAGCGCAAACGTCTCGTGCATAATGAGCTGCTGCGCCGTCCTGTTGATACCATGTGTCATTAAAGTTGTCTCCAGCTATTTCTCTTATTGCAGGAACTATTTGATTACGCAGGATAGCTTCATAGTTTTGGACATTTAAGTTGCCATAAAAAAAAATGGTACTATAATTCTATTATGTAGTATTCCAGCCCAGACATTTAATTTTTGTGGATATTGTGATTTGCATTCTCTTGCCCAATAAGGGTTTTCATTTGCCCAATATCTACAATTATGCCTATTTAAGCTTGAGTCAAGTTGAAATGTAGCTTCATCTGAGATTATATTTGATGGAAAGTTGGGATTTTGAACTATGCGTGCCATCATATCATCACAAAATTCAACGCGACGATCGAAATCGTCTTCATTTAACTTGTGTATCAGTGTTACTTTGTATGGATGGAAATTCTCTCTCTGTAGCATGTTGTGAACCGATGATTTACATATTTCGTGCTCTTGAGCAACACTACGAATTGAAATATGTGGATCTTGGGTGAATGTTAACAAAACATGTAAAGACTTCTCTTCATTACCTGCTGACCTTGGTCTGCCTTATCTAGGTAGATCGCTGATAGTGCCGATATTTTCAAACCTTCTAATAGTTTTTCTAACTATTGAAAATTACATTATAGTCCTATTAACCCTAAATGTAGAATTGAAAAGATCTTTTACGGCTTTATAAAATCGCCGCACCTGACCCCAACCTCTCATCGTAAGAAGCGTTATTCTTTCTTTATCAGTGAGTTTGTCCATTTTCACTAGTCTTCGGAGTAAACCTTATCCAAAAGCTGATCGGAACATGAAAATTAAATAACAAGTAAAATAATTTTTTGGATTGTAAACTACTACACTTAAAAATGATATCAATTTTTTGCATAAGAAAAAATAATTGTGATTCGACGCTCCTTTAAATACCAGATTATTAATATGACATTCAAATTTCGAAAAATATTACCATTAATTAATTGCAGTTATTTTTGTTTGACAAATGAAAAAAACACAATTATTTTTGCATTGTTTTCTGATTAACGTAAACGTAAAGCTAGTACAATTAGCCTTTATTACTCATACTTTTTTACAAATAACAAATGTCGGATTTTTATAAATAAAAATTCATTATCGTTAAATTTTCACGAAATTAACTAAAAAAGAAATTATAAAAATAACTAATAATGATGAAATATTTGAAAGTTTTTACTAGCTATGCCAGTGTCAAAAAATATCTTGGAATTTTAACTCAACTGTAGATTGAAACTTGTTTACCTGAAAAATGCATTTAAAGTTTGATGCGCTCACTTCGCTATACTACAATTCGATCTTTTCTCTACAACTTAAAGAAATTTAAATTTTCATTTGAAATTTTTACAATAAACTTTCAACATCCTTAACTTATAAAATATATGAACAAATAAATTTTTTTAAACCGTAACACTAGACTGACAACTTACACAGCATACTTTATGTTATTTTTGAGCCACGTTTTTAATACATATTAAAAAAGTATTTTCTAGCAAGGAGATAACCAGGCCTGTTAGAAAAATTTTTCTTATCAAAAAAACTGCTTAGACCATCCTAAAGTATTTACTAAAAAACTCCCAAAACCAAGTAAAAAGTTAAAAATATTGTATCTAAACCTCTTTTTTACAGATTTAATTTTTAATTTTTTGCTTTCGAATAATTAGCATAACGTCATATTCTGTAATTTTGTACATCAACCTTGCATTTCAGGCATAAACAAATGATTTGGCATGAAAGTTGGCGTAAATACCTTTAATTTCAGAGGTCTAGGACCTCTCTACAATAATCTGACCGACAATTATGGATGTTTGAATTATAGGCTATTTTACAGTCAAATTTTTTTGTACATAAAATGACGCTTTTATCAATCTCACTTCAAATCGCTATAACAATGGATCAGATCATCATACAGGGATCCTAGAACTCTCAAATTAAAGTTCTTTGCATTGGATTTTATGTTAGATAATTTGTTTATGTTTGAAATGATAGCTACATATTCAAAATCAAAGAATAAACTTTATGTTAATTATTGAAAAGCAAAAAAAATTGAAAATAAAGCTGTAAAGAAGAAGTTTAGAAACAATATTTTAAAAGCACCACAAAGGAATTTAAATTCTATTTCAATTCTACTTCAATTCGTAGAGCTACTCAAGAGCACGAAATAAGTAAATCATCTGTTCACAACATGCTACAGAGAGAGAATTTCCATCCATACAAAGTAACACCGATACACAAGTTAAATAGACGATTTCGATCGTTGCGTTGAATTCTGTGATGATATGATGGCACGCATAGTTCAAAATCCCAACTTTCCATCAAATATAATCTTCTCAGATGAAGCTACATTTCAACTTGGCTCAAGATTAAATAGTCATAATTGTAGATATTGGGCAAATGAAAACCCTCATTGGGCAAAAGAAGCCAAATCACAATATTCACAAAAATTAAATATCTGGGCTAAAATACTACATAATAGAATTATAGTACCATTTTTTTTTATGGCAACTTAAATTCCAAAAACTATGAAACTATGCTGCGTAATCAAATAGTTCCTGCAATAAGAGAAATAGCTGGAGACAACTTTAATGACACATGGTATCAACAGGACGGCGCAGCAGCTCATTATGCACGAGACGTTCGCGCTTATT